TGGACGTTATTAATAAATTCAGGATACGAGTGGTGGCCGCTCATGACAATTCCAATAGATGACTTTCCAAGCTGAACGCTTACGGCCGCATCACGTTGAAGCAGCGGTTCCCATATGATCACCGAAATTAATCGACCTTCTATCCTTATTGTTAAATGAAGAACCAATATTTTGATATTATTGAGGAATTCTTCAGCAGTTCGCAACGTGACTTTAACGTTGTCACAACGTTTTGAATGATCAGTTTGGTTTGGTTTGCTTTATTTTACGACATATCAACCTCAATGGGTTATTTAATGCCGACAAAATAGAATATTTTTCCTTAAACAAATCCATAGCTGTCATATTTTTTTCAAAGAATGTATAGCTGTTTGTATTGCTGGTATTTTTTTAAAAGTATTGCTGATGATAATTTTTCCTTCAAAAATTATTGCTGGTAATAATTTTTTTTTTATTATTACAAAGTGTTTCTGGTATTAAAACCTATTTTTACACAAGTTTGGGTGTTAACTATTTGCCCATAGCTGAGACCCTAATATGTGCTACCGGATCAGGGTGGACTTGGGAACAGCAGCAATTAAAAGGTGGTTCCACGCTCCTCAAAACCTCCTGATCAGAGGCCTTGCTGCTGGACGTAGTTTATCGTCTTACCCAGAATGCGGATGTAGTTTATCATCATACTCAGGGCAAGAACGGTCAGTTTGAGGTTGGTAAAATAATTTATTGAATCGTTACACTCATGTTGCCACAACGTCACATACCCACCCACAACAAAAATACATGTTGGCAACGTAGCCAGAACCTTTCGTGTTGGCTGCAGCACCATCCAAAATATGGACAAATATCACAAATTTTTTCTGTAATAAAAGAAATCACTTCTCGTTCAGGCCGATAATTTTTCAGCAGTCCCTCATAATTTCTCATATACTATGTTGCGTCATAAATAATTTCTGTTTTAGGGAAACCAGTTGTAAGGACGAATAGATCATCCTAACTAACCGTTCATTGAATAAGTCATAGCAGGTGATGAAAAGTTGATTGCATACAACAATGTTCAGCGCAAAAGGTAGTGGACTGACAAGAATAAGTCTCCACAATCACCCCCCCCACACACACACGCAAAAAAAAACAAGCTGAGTCCCAAGGAAGAAAGGCTATGTTGTACGTATTGTGGGATTGTCGCGATATTATTCATTTAGAGTGCTTAAAACGCAATGAAACAGTAAATTCAGATTTATATGTGCAGTAGCTGTAGGAAAAATGTTCTCCTTCAACAGGCTTACGGCCAGATCACGTTGAAACATCGGTACCCGTACGATCATCGATGTTAAGTAACGTCGAACCTGGTCAATACCTAGATGAGTGACCCCTTGGGACTATCAGGTGATATAAACTTGAATGTGCGGGTGGTGTAATGGATTATGGCTTTGAATTGTTAATTGGAGTGCTGAGTTTCAATAGCTGTTGGGTTTGTTATTATCATTTACGCGCAAATATCCTTGGGAAAAATATGGATCCTCTGCTTCCTCCTCCCCGCTATGGGTTAATTAGTAAGACTTGTAACACTAAACCATTATTATAGAAAAACAAAAACAAATAATTCTTACAATCTAGAAGTATTTCCTGGCTTTAAATAACATGCAAAGAGTTGATAAGCCATAGCAAATTCTTTAGCTAAAGCACTTCGCAGCGTTGCAGATAAACGGTCAATTTGGGGTCCGTAAAATAGTTGATTTCAACGTTACATTAACGTCGCCACCACATCACATGCCTCGCCCCAACAAAAATGAATGCCGGCAACGTAGCAAGAACCTTTCGTGTTGGTTGTAGTACTTTTCAAAATCTAGCCAAATGACCAAACATAGAAGAACCGAGAACTTTTCAGAAGTACCGCGTAAGTTCTCATATATACTATGTTGTGTCATAAGTAATTTCTGTTTTGGGGAAACCAATTGTAACGACGAATAGATCATCCTAAATGTTCTTTAAATATTTCATAACATGTGATGAAAAGTGGATGGCATACAACAATGTTCAGCGCAAAATGTAGTGGACCGATAAGGATAAATCTCCATAAGCAATCCCTCATAAAAGCTGAGCTCTAAGGAAGGAAGGCAATGTTGAACGTGTGGTGGGATCGTCGCGGTATTATTCATCTAGAGTGGTAAAACGCAAAGAAACAGTAAATGCACATTTATAAGTCCAGTAGCTGTCCAGTTTGGTCGACCAACGCCCTGCGTTCATCAGTAGGAAAACTAACAGGCTTACGGTTACATCAGGTTGAAACACTGGTTTCCGTCGATCACCGAAGTTAAGCCTGGTCAGTACCTAAAGGGGTGACCGCTTGGAAGTACCAAGTGCCGGAAGCTTAGATGTGCAGATGGCATAAAGGGCTTACGGACATATCACGTTGCAACACCGGTTCTTGTGCGATCACCGAAGTAAAGCAACATCGATCTTGGTCAGTACCGAGATGAGTAACCATTTGGGAGTACCAGGTTTTCTAAGCTTGGATTTGCGGGTGGTATAATGATAATGGCTGATAATGATAATTTGCATGAGTGGTCTCTATTCACCCATATATCTCTCCATTAAATGACTCAGATCAGCTTTAACTTGGGATTACACCAGTCTTTTTTGTGTCAGACCGCTTGTAAATTAACCAATATTCTACAGCTGGGAATTATTAAACTGTCAGTGGAGTTCCAATTCCAGTCGGGTTTGTTATATCCATTTACGCGCCAATACCCTGCTACCCCCCACCTATGGGTTAATTACTAAAACTTTTATCATTAAATCTTTATGATCTATCCCACGCCCAAAGATAATCTAAAAATAGTTTCTGCCTTTAACTAACCTGTAAATGGTGGGAAAAGCTGAAGAAAAAAACCGATTAATCAATGGAAAACAAACTGGAATATCTATTCGAAGTCCCATGGGGGATATTTTGAAGGAGACTACGGCAGCATACTCTAGGTAGGCTATTTATCGTCAATAGTATATAGCTGGATACTTTTCAGACAGACCACGTACGTATTGATAGATAAAAGGTTGCGATTATTAACGCGTTAGCTTCGCGGGTTATTCGCTCGCCTTGTGATTTCGACCCTCACTGTGTTACCCACTAGGGTGGCTTTGAGTCAAACTAAGCCGACCCCTCCCTAAATACCTCTCTGTATACGTCTAAGTGCATGTGTATGCGAGTGCGTGTCTGGAGATTGTGGAGTAAGGGCGTGTCAGTATTTTAACTGTAGCGATCGCCCTGACCCACCAACCCAGCCCTCATCGCCATTCTCGTAAGATCTCCTTTTTAAAGCAAAGTGTTTTTATTTCGACTTCTTTAAGAGCCACTTGACACAAAACAGATAAAAATGAAAGGTACAGCCTATAAAATCGAGGAGGCACACAATTGTAGACGCCGCTTCTGAAGTGACAAAAAAAGGCGGTTAGCATCTATGTCTATAATACTAAAAACCTAAATTTGTATATGTATATGCGCTTCTAAGCAGCTTAAACGGTGCATTGTAGATAGAAGTATTGAATGAAAACACTCAACAAACGCGTTAACTTGAATTATTACGTTGAGTCATCACGAATTTCTGTTTTGGTTTATCGACTTTATTCTTCAAAAAACAAAGTACAATTATATTTTATTCAATAATAATTTAAATACAACGTCAATCGCCATCTTCTGTCTTCTTGAACCAGGTTCCTTTTTTATCCTTTCCTCAATGCTTTCATTCTCAGTTTTCTCTTTTACTTTCATTTCCTGTAATCCCCTGCCTCTTAGTGTCATTATCGCCTTGCTTGGGATCAAACAATTAATTATAGTGATTTTCTAAGCGTAGCTTAGATGTGACACAAGGCCGAAAGTAGGGAGCACCGAGAGAGAATCGAACTCAAAACTCAGTTAGACAAGCTTGCTAACCATTACACCGCCTCGAGGTGCCCAAATAGAGATTTTCCAAGCGTAGCTTATATGTGGCACAAGGCCGAATGCATGGAGCGCCCAGAGAGAATCGAACTCACTACCCAGTCGTAATTGTTCTAGCGAGACAAGCTTGCTAATCATTACACCGCCTCGAGGTGTCCAAAATGATTTTCAAAGAGTAGCTTATATGTGGCACAAGGCCGAAAGTATGGAGCACCCAGAGAGAATCGAACTCACTACTCAGTCGTAATTGTTCTAGAGAGACAAGCTTGTTAACCATTACACCGCCTCGAGGTGGCTAAAGTGATTTTCCAAGCGTAGCTTAGATGTGGCACAAGGCCGAAAGTATGGAGCACCCAGAGAGAATCGAACTCACTACTCAGTCGTAATTGTTCTAGCGAGACAAGCTTGCTAATCATTACACCGCCTGGAGGAGCGCTAAATGGTGATTTTCTAAGCGTATCAAGGCCGAATGCATGGAACACCCACTAAGAATCGAACTCACTTGATCTAGCGAGACAAGCTTGTTAACCATTACAGCACGTCGAGGTACGCCTAAAAATACAAATAGAAATAGTTTATGAAAATTTAATTTAAATGAATATGAATAGTTTTCCATCATATAACACCTTTCCCACAGACGAAAACGTCTCAAGCTTAAACATGGCACGTGGAACTAGAACAGTCTACCCCAGCGAGCGAAATAAAGGGTCCAGTTCGACATTCCAACCACCTGAAAAAGGCCGGTGCGTACAAAGGCTGAAACGTTGTGATAAATATGGCAACAAAGACGAGGTCAATGGTCCAAATAATGTAAATAATTTTAATCTCATTTTGGTTAATATACATGTTATATTATAGTAACAAAATCCCGACCAGTTCTCATGCCTTAGCAGAATCAAATGTACCCATTGCAATGTTAAATTCTGTGTTGTTTCTTTTAGTCCACGGACAACAAATATGGAATAACACATTTTTATGCCTGCTTTATAATTTTCATTTCATTTTTGTTAACAGGACAATATTCTTTAGCTAAGTTGAAGGTGGACATTAGCATATTTTCAGTGATAGACAAGAAAAAATCACTAATATCAAACTGAATAATGTAAATTGTGTACATAATACCTCATCTCAGAAATATAGACAGATACTCAAGGGCCGAAAAGCTGTGTTAAATATGGCGACAAAGATGAGGACAATAGTCCAAATAATGTAAATAGTGTACATAATATCTCATCTCATAAATATAGACAGATACTGAAAGGCCGAAACGTTGTGATAAATATGGCGACAAAGATGAGGACAATAGTCCGAATAATGTAAATAGTGTACATAATACCTCATCTCAGAAATATAGACAAATACTGAAAGGCCGAAACGTTGAAATAAATATGGTGACAAAGATGAGGACAATAGTCCGAATAATGAAAATAGTGTACATAATACCCCATCTCAGGAATATAGAAACTTAATACTCGAATGTATTAACAATTTTCGAAATATCAGGTTCTGAGAACGTCACCGCTTGATTAAATTTATGTATTTATATTTTTTATATTCTTTGTTTTATTATTACTATTTTGAAACCTATATCCTGTTTGATCCTGGACGTGACCCCGAGAGTAACACCTTGACCTTCAGATATGAACCCACTTTCATGTCTTTCAGCGGTTTCGGATTTGATATAAGTAAAACATGACAGGCATTTGTTCTAACTTCCCACATATTGTTGCCGAATAAGAATGTTACGGGGTAGGTACGAGGGGTGCTGAAAAGTTTTCCGACGAACCAAGAATGGATTATGACAATTTGGGAACTGGGTCAGAGCGATAACTTTTCAGCGCCCCATATCAAGTGCTCGGTTGTAACCTGCTGTGACCATTCACTCACAGCATTAAAAGAATAAAAATTAAAAGTAATAATTGGAAGATTTTCATATCGTGTGAAAAAAAAGCCCACACGCCGGAACATATATATATATATATATATATATATATATATATGTGAGCTTTTACACACACACACACACATATATATATATATATATATATATATATATATTTATATATATATATATATATATATATATATATATATATATATATATATATATATATATATATATATATATATATATATATATATATGTGTATATGTGAAAAGTGTATATAAATATAAATAAATATAAGTATGTATAATTATTTATATATTATATGCGCGGTACTTATTAGAAAGCGCTCAATATCAGAGATAGAGCTAACATATTTATCTATCCAACCAAATATATATATATATATATATTCTTGATATATATATATAATAAGAAAAATTATATGTATATGTTTAGGCGTGTGAGCTTTATATATATATTTTTCTTTATATATATATATATATATATATATATATATATATATATATATATATATAAATATAAGAAAATCACACGCCTAAACATATATTTTTTCTATATATATATATATCTTTTTCCATATATATATACATATATATATATATATATATATATATATATATATATATATATATATATATATATATATTTATATATATATATATATATATATATATATATATATATATATATATTTCAACAGTCTCTTTCTGATTTTAATTAGCTTATCCGTTTGTTCCCTCTCTCCCGGACGCCTCTAATCTATATTGTCAGTATCAGATTTTCCAAGCCGTCTTTCCTCATTATGTGCCCCAGAAATATCAACTGTCTCTTTCCGGTTTTAATTAGCTTATCCGTTGTTTTCCTCTCTCCCTCTTGTCTTTAAACTGTATTGTGAGTATCAGATTTTCCAAGCCGTCTTTCTATAGTGTATTAGATATTGATTTTCTTATTTCTATTTTGTAATTTTCGTTTGGCTCATCCTTATGCTAACAACTATGCATTTCTTCTTCTTTCAATTCATGTTTAATCTTTTCTTCTCGCTTTCCTTTAATACCTTCTGTTAGAGTAGTTGTATTTTCCTTTCTGCGTCTTCTATTAAGACTTTTTCATTTGTATATCATATGTTGTTAAGATTGTGGCCGCTAATAATGAATCCTGTTAGGATTTATAATTCTCAGAATAGCCTCACTGTATAAGTTGAATAAGTCCGGTGAGAAGGCACACCCGTGTCTTACACACCTTTATATTTTTCTATGTTTGCTAAACTCATTTTCTATCTGTATGCAGGCGGCTTGCTTCTAGTATAGATTCTGGACTATTCTAATATCCTTCTCAAATATGTCAAGGTTGCTAAGCAGTTCCAACCGGTCTTTCTGGCGTACTTTATCGGACGCTTTTTGCATAATCTATAAAACACAGGTACACGTCCTTCAGTATTTGTATTGCTCACTCTATCTTTCTCTCCCTCACTCTCTCTCTCACTCTCTCTCTCTCTCTCCCGCACTCTCTCTCTCCCTCCCTCCCTCACTCTCTCACTCTCTCTCTGTCCCTAACTCTCTCCCCCTCACTCTCTCTCTCACACTCTCTCTCCCTCACTCTCTCCTCTCCTCACTCTCTCCCCTTTCTCCCCCCACTCTCTCTCACTCTCTCCCTCCCC